GTGCATCCTGTCCCACCATCAGACTGTCGCTGCCATCACTGTTGTTGCTGCTGCAGGTCTGCATGGCCTGGCCCTCGCGAACCGAAGTAATGGGCGTCCACTGGTTGGTGGTGGTGGTGGGGGACCAGCTGATGGGCTCACCACCACCACCAACGCCACCGCCACCGCTTGCCAGATCAGCAATGCCATTCTCATCGTGGCCATTGGTCACCGAGTTTCGCTTCACCTTGATGGAGTCTTGAGGATGGTGGTGGTGGTGATGGTGGTGATGGTGGTGGTTGTTGGTGGTTGTAGTGGTCGTTTTATCATGACCGCCGCCGCCGCCAATCATCTCATCAGAGTCCTCTGACTCCTCGGACTTTTCATCCGAGTTTGGCCGCTTCTGACAGTGGTGGCCATTGATGATCGGCTTGGCCACCGCCGTTGCCGTCACCGCCGCCACTGCGTTGACCGCCGAAGAGCTCAGACCATCCGACGATTCGGCCGTCGACGAGGAGCTAATGTCCATCGCCTCCACCAGCGAGTCGAGCGAGGTGTCGCGGCTCTTGTTGTTCGGCGAGAGAGGCGACCCTCTCGACTCGGAGGGACTGCGTCGAGACTTCGGCGGTGAGCTGCCGCTGCTGCAGTTGCTCAGGTCACTGCCACTCGTTTCAATTTTCTTCTTCTCGATCACCATTGTTGTTGTTGATTTCTGTTGTTGTTGCTGCTGAGATGATCCTAAAGTGATGGCAGAGTGATCACTTGGAGTTCACGGTGGTGAAGGTGGAGAAGGGGAAACTGAACATCAAAGAAGAAAAGAAGGAAAAGATACTTTCAGTTTCTTTTAAAATGAGTCGTAAGAACCATTACCACCACTTTACTACTCACTTTACACCATCCACACAACAGCGCCGTCCTGCGCGAGACGAGTTTCTTTTTCCTCTCCCTGTCTCTGTCTCTGTCTCTGGAGGAAGAGCTGGATGGATGACAAGTAGAAACTGGTGATTGTACTGCTGCTGCTGCTGCTAATGGAGCTCAGTAGTGTAAGCGTAGCGTAGTAGGGATTGTGTAGTGTGAGTCTGTGGATCGCGCGGCTGTAACGCAACAAAACACAGCAGACTCAGGCGAGTAACTGTAAACAAAAGACGGAGAAGTGCTGGTGGCCAGGCTGAGGCTGGCTTCTTAGCTCTTCTTAGCTCGTCAGCTAAGACAGGCGTTGTTGCTGTTGTTGTTCAACGGGAGTTGTCCGGGAATTGAGCTAGGGCTGAGGAAGTTAGTGGCTTGATCAATGCTTGCTTGCTTCAGTACAAAACAGGAAGTCCTGAGAGAACCAGAAAGGATGGCGTGAAAGGGAAACGACGACCACCGCTCTCGAGCACGAGCTGTCGGCTGCAGAGGCTGAGGTAAAGTGTGTGTGTGTGTGTGTTTTCTGCGTGAAAAAAATTCCAAAATCATGATCGCGTGGAAATAGCAAGGCGAGAGTCGCTGATGGGTAGAAATGGTCGTCTGGAAAAATTAAAGTTCAAAAATGTTTTGCTTCAAAAATGTGTTTTTTGAAATGTATCGACAAGGATGTATTTAAACTTCCCCTTTCTTTTGGCCAATCTACTCTTTCTTTTTCGGTTTTTCAATTTTTGAAACTGGTAAGTTATGCTATGTGATAGGATTATTATCCCAAAGTGTGCGTCACTTTAAAGTTCTATTTCTAAAGTTCGAAACGACTGGTGACAACACAAGTCGCGCATTTTTTGACGACCTGACTTTTCTCAACTTTTACCTCAACTTTGTTTCTTTCTCTTTTCAAGCAAGTTCTGCTTTGTCACTCAGCAAGCTTAGATAAAAACTATTGAAGTGACTATTGAGGCGCCTCAGCGCTCAGGTTACTCTGTGTTTGCAAACACAGATGCTTTTTCATTCATTACCAAAAGATGGCTAATTAATCGCTGTTTGCTGTTTGATTGATTGATTGATTGGTGTAGTTGGGGTGAGCACAAAAGTGTCTGCACAAAAGGTGAGGATTAGGTTCCAAGACAAGACAAGAAATGGGAGAGACTCAAGACACTCAAGTTGCAACAACTGGCGTGAGGCGCAGTTTCAGCATCCGAGAGAAATCACCACCCTCTGAAATCGAAGCGGGTGAAAATTTGATTCCAAGCTATCGCCATCATCATCATCACCACCACCATTCTCGTGATCTCATCAACATGNACTCTGTGTTTGCAAACACAGATGCTTTTTCATTCATTACCAAAAGATGGTTAATTAATCGCTGTTTGCTGTTTGCTGATTGATTGATTGATTGGTGTAGTGGGGGTAGGCACCAAAGTGTCTGCACAAAAGGTGAGGATTAGGTTCCAAGACAAGACAAGAAATGGGAGAGACTCAAGACACTCAAGTTGCAACCACTGGAGTGAGGCGCAGTTTCAGCATCCGAGAGAAATCACCACTCTACGAAATCGAAACTGGTAAAAATTTGATTCCTAGCAGATCATCATCATCACCACCACCACCATTCTCGTGATCTCATCAACATCACCATCATCAGCCAAGGACTCATTCATTCACCCTAGAGACACTTCACTCAAGTGAGTCTTTGTTCCAAAAAAACTGGAAAACTTTGGTTTACCCTTCTTTAGTTGCGTAAGAGCAAGCTTTTGCAATTGCGATCTAAGGACAAGCGTTTGCAAGATCTGACGCAACCTGTCCCCACCGCTGATTACCGGTGCACCTGTCCTCAAAGTAAAACAACAACAACAACAACAACAGCAACAACCGTAGTGCAAATCGTTTTGGGTCGTCGTTTTGTACCTTTGTACGACTACCGCCGCCTTCACCACCACCACCCTCAAAACACATCCTCTCTTGTACTACGTGATTGGCACATTATCCTCATCATCATCATCATCACCATCATTAGCATCTTTTGTGGATCAGCAAATACATCATCAGCAGCAACAGCTGTACACCTACCTCAATTTGGGTACGCGGCGGCGGCTGCAGGTAACCTTCTCTCCAAACACTTTCACTGATCCTATCTACCACCACCACTCTAAAGTTTGGTAATTTCCCCTTTTCCTCTGCTGTGCCGGCTCAACTGCTGGCATTGGCGGTCGCTCACTCGCTTCCCTCCACTGGTATGAGGCAACCATCAGCCTTCACAACCGTCAAACAACAGCACCTGAAGCAGCTGAAGCAGCTGCTGCTAAAGCCAGCAAACNCCACTCTAAAGTTTGGTAATTTCCCCTTTTCCTCTGCTGTGCCGGCTCAACTGCTGGCATTGGTATGAAGCAATCAGCCTTCACTGTCAAACAAAAGCACCTGAAGCAGCTGAAGCTAAAGCCAGCAAAAGGTAGAGAGCACAAGAACAACAAGTGGTGGAGAGCCATTTGCGACCAGCGAAATACCAGCGTACAGTAGAAAAGTGAGGCCTACTACTACTAATAATAACATCGACGATGTTGAGCCCATTGTAAAGGTGCAAGGCTTGTGCAAGCGTCTGTGGTAATTCTATTCTGCCTGCCTGACTGACACTGCCACTTTTGGAGCTCAGCTTTACCATGGCAACGGAAGGCTGCTGCTGCTGCTGCTGCAAGTAAAGCACGAGAACAGAGCTGACTATCAGCCAGCCAGCATGTAAGTACCAAATAAAATGGTCACTGTATAGGGCAACAGCAACTGCAGCAGCAGTGGCAATACAGCTGTACAGCACTCGTTCTCACTTTCTCTCTTCAAAGTCTGACTGACTTTTTATTTCTATTTGCAGATGTGGGGCTCTGTCTCTGTCAGCTGTGTTGTATCGCATTGCACCAGTCCAACTTTTTATGAACTTCAAACACTGGAGAGAGAGAGAGCCAGAGACAGCTGAGAAGTGGGATTCGTTGCTAAACTCGTGGTGCTGCTAATCTTCTACTGCTGCTGTTGCTGACTGATCGGCCCGACTGTTGAGACAGGAGATGACAAAAGAGAGGACGACAGCGACAAGNGCCAGAGACAGCTGAGAAGTGGGATTCGTTGCTAAACTCGTGGTGCTGCTGCTAATCTTCTACTGCTGCTGTTGCTGACTGATCGGCCCGACTGTTGAGACAGGAGATGACAAAAGAGAGGACGACAGCGACAAGCCGAAGACCACTTGGCATTGACAGTGAACATTAGAAGAGGGAAGAAGAAACTCCCCCGCAACAAGAAAAAGTGAGATCTCGTTTGTTTGTGGTGGTGGTGGTGGTGGTTGTTGTTTGTTGACAGCAGCTTCAGACAACACATCACAAGAGAAGAGTTTCGATTTCTCGCGTTATCTCCCTATCTTCTCGACTAACAAGCAAACACCACCACCACCACACTCGTTCACGTTTATGTGCGGTTGCCCCTGGCTGCATCACACAGACACACACTTGCCTGCCTGTTTGCTTGCTTGCCTGACTGCCAAACAGTCAATTTCAGACAGAGACACTTGCGCCACCGCAACCGACGCCGCCACCGCCGCCACCAGGACTCCTCTTTTCCCACCGGACTTTTATCATCATCAGACAGGAGAGGAACAGGACGGCGGTATAAAGGCGAAGACCTGGCACCCACTGTCGACCACTTGACATCGGCTGCTCATTCNCACTTGCGCCACCGCAACCGACGCCGCCACCGCCGCCACCAGGACTCCTCTTTTCCCACCGGACTTTTATCATCATCAGGCAGGAGAGAGAGGAGGAACAGGACGGCGGTATAAAGGCGAAGACCTGGCACCCACTGTCGACCACTTGACATCGGCTGCTCATTCCATCACCCATCACCCATCAAAAACCATCATCTCTTCCTCAAACTTTTTGTTCCTCCAGGCATCACACGACTAACTTCTTCTTTAGCCGCCAAACACTCACTCGACCTCTACCTTGCGGCTACCTGCTCTTTTCCTCTTCTCTGCAGCAGCAGCAAACCTGATTTTCTTCCTCGTTCTCTTTCTCCCCTCGCGGCCAATCTCGCTCGGGAAGAAACCCTTCTTCTCTTCCCTTGCTCTTGAGCAGCCAGCCCTCTATCTCACGCTAATATAAGAATGATCAACAGCAGCAGCCGCAGCATCTGTGGTGGTATTCTTCCTCAATCCTCTGCACAACCGGCACAAGCAAAAGCAACAACAACAACTCCTCTTATCACCGCCTGCTGCAGCTGCTAAAAGTGCTTTGTTGACAGTCCCCCCAGTNATCTGTGGTGGTATTCTTCCTCAATCCTCTGCACAACCGGCACAAGCACAAGCAACAACAACAACTCCTCTTATCACCGCCTGCTGCTGCTGCTAAAAGTGCTTTGTTGACAGTTCCCCCAGTCTACTACTGACTACTGCATCTTTTTTCTGATTTATTTTCTGATATAATTTCACCACCACCACCACGACCACCTCCACTCTCAGCCAACCATCCACATCATCATCAGCATCATCAGCATCAGCAGCAACTGTTGTTTACCAGCAACAGCCGTCCTATCATCATTCCAATTAATCGCAAGCAGCAGTGCCTCGATTTGCCTGCCTGCACCTCTCCTCTCCTCTGCTCTTCTCTTTTTTGTCTTTGTTGCGGAACTAATTGCCAAAACCACCAGCACCACCACCATATAAAAATCAAATTACAATTGCCCCTCAACCAAACTAGAGATAGCAAAGAGAAGAAAGTGGCACACTACCAAAACACACACGCCACTCTTGCAACTTTCGAA